GGTTATTTAGATGATATTCAATCACCTGATAATCTTGAAACACCACCAGCTACACCTGATAATGCTAGTCAAACTCAAGATATTAGGGGTGGAGGTCGTGGTAATACAAGTAGGCCTCCCCTCCCTATTAAGAAGAATTGAAGATTAAGAAGTAAGTGTTGGGTTTTTTTTGAAAGATTAGAAGAAGATAAAAATTATGTAAGATGTCAAATTTGTAAGGAAGTTTATAAATATAAGACCGGAGGTAAGGGAGGGGGAACGGGTCATCTTCGTAGGCACATGGTAGATAACCACTCTATTGCATGGGGTGTTGACGAGGAATGTGGGCAATAAAAACTTAACCCGGGTACTGGTGGTTTAATGGGTAAATACGATATTAAGAAAGGTCGGGAAGAATTAGCTAAAATAATTGTTTTAGGTTGTTTACCTTTTCGTTTTATTGCTTCACCATATCTTGTTACTCCCTCTGTTCCAGTTTATGTGAACCTATTTCCTTTTTGGTCCGTTCCAAAAAGAATGAACCCTTTCTAAATTTGGTAACAATTTAGCTTAAAGTTACAACTCTACCCTTAATGAGAAGCTTTTATAACTACACAAATACTCTGGGCCCTATTTGGACTTGTTTAGGACCACAAATTCCAAAAGTATTCATTTTTTCTTAAACTCCGTGCCCAGTCAAACATGTCACATAAATTGGAACGGAGGGAGTACTTATATTCAAAGAATTTATAACCCTTTATTTAAAGGTATTCCTAGAAGTAGTAGTAGAGCTGATATCTTTAGGCTTTTTGGACAATATCAGACATATATCCGTTATTTGTTCGCCAGTCTTTCTTGTAGAGTTTCTCTTACTTCTGATATTGGTCGTGCTATAAATGAAAATGATTATTTGAATGTTACATGTCATTGGATGGATGATAATTTTAGTATGCAAAAATGTATTATTGCTTTTAAATATGATAAGATCAAAGTCATACAGGTGCATTTATAAGTAATACTATCCATGAAGTTTCTATATTTTATAATCTTGCAGAAAAAGTTTTGTGTATGTCATTTGATAATGCTTCTAACAACAATGCTGCTATTACAATATTAAAATTATATCTACACCGACCACTTCCTGAAATATTTCATGTTAGATGTGCATGTCAAATTTATAATTTAATTGTGAAGAGTGACCTTGAATTATTTAGAGATGAGATCACTTTAGTCAGAAGAGCTGTTGATGTAATTCAAGGAAATAATAGAAATGCTAGATTAAATGCATTTAAGGAAAAATGTGTACAATATGGACTAAAACCAAGACTCATGCATGAAGAAATAGTTACTATGTGGAATTATACTTATTTATTCTTAAGATGTTGTTATAAATATAAAATGCCTATAACTAAAGTTGCTAAATATTGTACCGATCCTAACCGTTTGTTAACATCTAGAACGATGTTGTAAAAAATTTACAAAAATTTTATGTGGCTACACTTGAGTTTTCTGGAGCTTATTATCCTACTATTACAAATGATTTAGTTCATATTGCTGAAATTTCTCTTTTACTCCATAATTTGAAGAAAAAAGAAGGATATACTTCTGTTGTTGAATCTATGCTAGATAAATTTAAAAAATATTTCTACCCAATTCCCCCTATTTACCTAATTGGTGCTATTTTAAACCCTTTTATCAAAATGGTCACTTATCGCCAATTAATCACTGCTTTATATGTTTATATGGATATTGGACCAACTGGAACTTATGATATTGAACTTGTATTTCTGATCTACACAAACATTTACAAACTTTATATAATTATTATGCTAACATTGTTGATGCTTCTACTGCTGTACATGCAAATATTCCTTCAAGTTCAGTTTCAACATCTGGGACCGGTGCTTTGGATGATAATGATGGTGTTGAAGATTATTTGATTTGGTATACAATAGGAGAGCATCAACGAACCAGTAGCAGAAATATTGATGAACTCCAATTCTACTTGCAAAAGTCACCAGAGCCCCCGCACAAATCAATCAATTTCTACCGCTAGGTTGGTGGAGGAGCAACTCAAATCGATTTCCTGTTTTTTCGGCCATGGCTCGAGACGTGCTAAATGTGCCAATTTCAACAGTCGCATCAGAGAGCGCATTTAGCCAAGCAAGCCAGCTATTAGGAGATACCCATCATTCATTGGGCAGCAACGCTTTGGAAATTCTAGTGTGCTTCAGAGATTAGAGAAGATTTGGCAAAACCAAGGACGTGAAGAGGTAGATGAAGCAGAGGACCAAGAAATTGGAGATATAATGGTTTATGGTTTCGATTCAAGTAATGCCGGAAACCAAGAACCTCATGTTGACATGGATAAACTTACAAAAATGATGCAAAACATGTGATGTACTCTTTCTTATTTCTTATAATTGTTGTAAACTTTTAATTTGCAAGTTCAAAAATAAAAAAATCAAAGTAGAACTTGCAAATTAATTTGAAGTATTATTTATTATTCAATGAAAATATAAAATGAAAGCCTTCGAAGCTTGATCCTTACATACTTACTTTCAAATTTCAATTTTAAATTTAAAACTTTAAATTTCAAAGTTTAAAGTTTAATTCTAAGTCTTAAAAATTTGCAAACACTTAAGTATCAATTACATTGAATCAGAAAAACAAAATATACTTAAAAAAAGAATTAGCCCGGCTCGTGTCCAGCCCGGAACAGCCTGCCCGATTAACACCTATACTGGCCACAATGCAAATCTGCTATCTTTATAGCTGGCGCTTAATTGAGTCAGGACTTGCGAATATATAGATGGCAGTCAGCCTGTATATTATTGCGCATCTATTGTCTAAAGGTGTCTGAAGTAAGTGTTGAAAATCTTTGTGCTGGATTTTTATCTTATATGGATTCCCACTCATCAAAAATCTAGACCGGACCATTCTAAAAATTATTGGTGTGGTAGTGGGCCTGGTTCATCCTTCTATGTTCCCAGTAACCAGAGGACAAGAAACCTTGTTTTTAATACTCGGCAAGTAAACAGCAAAATGATGCTAAGATTATATTTGTTTAAACACTTTGTAATCTTATAATATAGACTAAGATGGGGTAAGTTTTGTCGAAAAAAAAGGAAGATAAGATGCGGCATATATAAATTTTCTAATTAGAAAGTTCAGTTCCCTGGTAGATTAGTGTTCAGTAGAATTTTGTCTTTGCATTCGTTGATTTGGAAGACTAAACCATCTCTTTTGACTCTTTCAATTAAATGCCATGAAAGTGAAAGGTCTTTCATCTATCTGCAGGCTATTACTCTGATTCTATGTGTACACTGTTGAATAACTGAAAAAAAGTAGTAATATTGGATGCCATACATTTCTGAAATTGCTTAGTGAATGCATCAAATCATGCATAAAACATCCTGATATGGCATTTAAACTTTCCTTTCCAAATCCCTAAGTGTGAAGTTCCTTGCAGCCCTTGAAAGATTAACAAGGTTGACAGCATTGTAGCTGTTTTCAATTTTTTTTTTTAAAAATAATTAAATAACAGCAAACATTCATATTTCAATTGTTACTTTATATTCATTACTGTCAAGTTTGGGCGGAGTTCAGGGGTCTGATGTTGAAATAACGATCCTGTAGAACTGTGATCTATATCTGTAGGACAAACTTGTATTCCAACCATCTATATCTGTTTTCTACAGAAAATTTACTTCTTCATTTTGTTTATGCCATCAATTATTTTGGTGTAGGTTACTATTATTGAAGACTGAAGAAGACAATACAAGCTGCCAGAGTTGATGCAGGGCCTCCTAATGGCCGCTTACTCTGGTCTTTGAATAAGATGATCCAATACTCTCTCTCGCTTGCATGTGAATCCTGTGATAGGTTTTCTAAATCCAACCAAATCTTTTTTAGGATAGAATATCAGTCAGCGGCTTAACTATGTACAAAAACTTTTTAACTGCATGATGTGAAATAATGTACCTGGAGGAGCCCATTGAAGTCCTACACCAGCTATTTATTATAGTAAATTGCCGCAGCAATCATTCACAGACAAGGTCCAGTGAGTATGCTGTTCCAATTATACGAAGCTAGGGCCTATTCTCCTGCTCAGATATCGGGTCCAATTAATCCTTGTAGCTAGCTTACTACTGCATCCTGTTCAGATTGCAATACCGACACACTTACTCTGACCATGGTGGATTTGTGTTATCAGAAGAAGGTGCGATCACACCTACTTGGACCACATAGTCGAATCACATACATGTTTTGAATGTATATTGTATAATAAACTGTATCAACTCTGAACTCACTAATTCTAAATACTGGAGGCTATGGCGGAGCCAGGAATTCTGGGAAGGAGATTGATAACTTACTCACGGGTCCAAAACTGGACATACACTCTTTTCGGCATTTTCGGCCTGAGTTGTTCATCACCCCTTGATCTCATATTATAGATCTCACGTAGAGTGATTCTCCCCATAAACCTCTACATGTGATGTTCCCAAAACATAAATATGTAATTTAGTAAATTAAAACCTATTGTTGAGTTTAATGATTAAATTCTTTCTCCAGCGTTCTATGCCCTGAGCACAAAGTTTGGGGTTTGGTTGGGTGAACGGTGGTTTGTGAGGAGGGAATATTGTCTCTCTAATTAATTGGCTGCAGACACTAAATTGTCGGTACGTATTTTAAGATGGGTTTTGAATCCTATATTGGATGGTTTTGTGCAGACGTGGAAGGCCAAATCTGACTGGGACAAATTGATGACTCACATGCAGAGTCATACATCTCTTAAATGTAAAGAATTTTACCTTTTAAAAACAATAAGAAAATTGATGAAAAAAGAAAATCAGGTATTGCCAACTCTGTATCTGTGGATGAGAATAGTCCCCACCCACAGTGCACGATTGCTACTATTTCTTTTGGCGCCATTATCTCATCTCTTCTTTAAAACTAACTCTCTGTACCTACGTCCACACACTGAGCTAAATCCTTTTCTACTCTATTTAACCCCAATCATTCACATAATACCTTTAATACCACTCACATTTCTGCTGTAGGGGCTCCTCAAACATGATCTTTGTTCTGCTAACATTAAGGCCTATAATGGGAATTGTACCAATGCCTTGATTGATAGTGAAAGATGATAACAATAATTCAATTATTAGGGGCCAGATACTGTTGATTAAATGCTCAGACATTGAACTAACAGAAGCAAAGGAAAAGAACATGTCTTTCTGGTTTTTGCTCCATAAGGAAACAGCTTAAGAGAAACCTCTACCGTAGACCGAATGTGATGGACATGGTTAAGACCCTTTAAAGTTTCAATCATGGTGGATCTTGATTCAGAGGGGACTGAACAACCCTCTACTGTTAACAATATGTCCACTAAAAAGAAGGAGCTTCTTTCCACTGCTATGAAGAGGACCTCTGATTGGTATGCTCTATATATCTTGACTTCTTATTGTGCTTTGTAAAAGTAGCCAGCCCCTTTTATGTACTATTATTAATCTGTTTCTCAAGATACTCGCTGGAAGGATAGGTACTGACAAGTAAAGTTACCTATATAATCTTAACAGGATTTTCTCCCAAGAGATCCCAAGTGATGTAACTGTAAATGCAGGCGGATCCGCCTTTTCACTGCACAAGGTGTGGTGTTCTCTATGCTTTTGTCATAAGAAGTTATAACTAAACTTCACTCACAATCCAAACTGTTGTTGGTTTTAGTTATATTCCTATTTGGATTGAGTTATCAGCCCTGGTCACACCTCAATGAGAATCTGAATTTGGTGATTTTTTCTCTTTTCTGACGATTGAATCACAAGGTTCAATAATGATTTATTGTGTACCATGCAGTTCCCTTTAGTTTCAAAGAGTGGCTACATAAGGAAGATTATCTCAGAATCCAATGATGCTGATGTTTCTATAGTCGAAATCCCTGATATACCCGGTGGATCAGATGCATTTGAACTTGCTGCAAAATTTTGTTATGGAATAAATTTTGAGATAAGCACAGAAAACATTGCCTTGCTGAGATGCACAGCGGAATATCTTGAGATGACAGAAGACTATGCAGTTGGGAATTTGGTTGGAAGAACTGAGGCCTACTTAAATGAAGTAGCTCTTAAAAGCCTAGCTGGCGCAGTTTCAATTTTGCATTCTTCAGAAAGCCTTCTTCCCATTGCAGAGAAAGTAAAAATGGTTAGTCGATGCATCGACACAATTGCATATATTGCATGCAAGGATAACCAATTCTGCACATCAGGTAGAGCAGAGGCTGGTACTAACGGATTGAATTCGTCCACGTTTTCAAACCCGAAGCCTATGGTTGATTGGTGGGCTGAGGATTTAGCTGTCCTTAGAATTGATTTTTTCCAAAGGGTTCTAATTGCAATGATGGGAAGAGGATTCAAGCAGTATGCACTTGGACCAATATTAATGCTATATGCACAGAAGTCTCTTCGAGGTTTGGTGAGGCCTTGTCCTATAATATAATCTGGATTATTTAGTTAAAATATTTACGCAGATAGTAATTTTTTTGTTTATCACAGGAAATATTTGGAAAGGGAAGGAAAAAAATTGAGCCAAAACAAGAACATGAAAAGAGGGTTGTTTTAGAAACAATTGTTAGTCTTCTGCCAAGGGAGAAAAATGCATTGTCAGTTAGCTTTCTGTCAATGCTGCTCCGAGCTGCAATATATCTAGAAACCACAGTTGCTTGCAGGCTTGACTTGGAGAAGAGGATGGCATTGCAGCTTGGACAGGCTGTGTTAGATGATTTATTGATTCCTTCATATTCCTTCACAGGGGACACATTGTTTGATGTTGAAACCGTGCAGCGTATCATCATGAATTTCCTTGACAATGAAATGGATGGAAGTCGATTGGGAGATGAGGAGTATGTGTCTCCTTCATTAAGTGACATGGAGCGGGTTGGGAAACTTATGGAAAATTACCTTGCTGAAATAGCCTCAGACCGTAATCTATCCGTTTCAAAATTCATTAGTCTAGCTGAAGTCATCCCAGAGCAAGCAAAGATCACTGAAGATGGGATGTACAGGGCAATTGATATTTATTTGAAGGTATGCGCGATGAAATACTTGATTAGTTATAAATTTATCTATGCATATTTACACATACAGGAGCATTTTCATAGTTTTAGATCATGTTTAGAAAAGGAGAAAAACTTTTGCTCCCGACTGCTACATGGTAATTGGCATGCTAAACTTAGTAATCTTGATTGAAATGCCTTCTACAACAATGTACCTCTTGGTCCTAGCATAATTATGACTGAGAGAAGACTTTGGGAATAAACAAAATCAGAAAATATGTCACCAATGAAGAACCAGTCATTTTCACAAAATCCTTGCTCCTCAATTATTTTTTTTGCAGGCATTGCTCGGTCCGCCTCATGATTTTGACCCAAGCCCATGTCCTATACTCCTTTACCCTACAACCATTTTGTGAGACTGATGTTGTCTGGAGTTTCGAATCTCGTTTCTTCCCCTGTCCTGAACATCTATCTCATGGTGCATTTATCCTGCACCTGGTTTGAACTTTGAATATGTGTTCAATTCAACTCACCGTGTCTTACTTAGACCATATATATATATACTAGTAGTTTTAGCTAAGGGATATGGTATGTTAGGAAGAAGAACATTCCTCATTTCAAATGGACTTAAGGGGAAGCTCCCTTAGTATATTACTTAGGTATTATAGTATGTTTTTGTGAGGAATAATTTGGAGTAAAGAGTAGCTGTGAAGCATGTTAAAGCACATGACTGAGGTGGTACTTTAAATCGTTGTGTCGCTCATCATTAGGGAATGCCAGATCAGGCTTTTTTAATTTTTATATTCTGTTTCCGAGTATATAATTTCTTCTTGATACAGACGGTATAACAGGACTTAATCAGGGTAATTAATTAGTATCTGCACGTGCAAGATCAATTTAAATGTAGGTTAAATATGTTAGTACTTAGTACCTTCTCATCATTGAAGAAATTAATAGAGGACGAACATATATATATATATATATATATATATATATATTTCTCTGCACGTGTATTGCATGTGTATGCCAAATTATATAATATCTAATTTTATAACATAATATTAATATTATTAAAAAAAATTCCGAACAAATAATTATACATAAAATAAGGTACAAGTATTTACGAATTGATCCATGTAAATCAGCATATATTGACTTTGAAAGTTCGTCCCAAACAAACACTTTTAACTTTGCAACCATTCTTACACGAAACAACATAATATGTAAATGTAGCTTGGTGGCTAAACTAACAAACCATAAACTCATTGCTAATGTCTTCGTAAAAAAATGTATGTCACAAAACCGCTTAAGTTGGTAATTTAATATTTCATGAAAAGACTTTGTAAGGCTAATTAACAAAATATTTAATTTGAATTATCTTATTTAGGGAGTAGTATTTAATTTTAAATATTTTATTTTGATGTTATTTTTGCAGGTTCTTTTTTCTTTTGACTTAAAAGTATTAATTCAATTTTTCAAGATTCATCATTAAAACACAATTTAATAGGCTATTCGAGATATAGGGAACTTGAATATGAAAATAACTTTTAAATAAGAATATGAGTAGTAATTATTTATTGCGAGCGACACAATTTTATTTTTTTGTTAATTTTCTTAAAGAAAAAAAGAAAGAGACCGCCACTTTTGTATAATAAATACTCTTAATCTGATTTTAAATTAATTATAATAATTGAAGTTTACTACTTGTTTAGTTTCAAAATCTGTCTGTTAAAGAAAAATTATAACTGCTTGAATTTGGAGATGAACGATCTATGTGGAAAATAGTTTTTTTATTTGAATTTAAAATAAATGACTTATATTGCAACATGCAAACATTGCGTCGTCTTGTCTAAAGCAGCCAGTAGGAAAGCATTGTCTAAATAAAAAGCCAGTAGAAAAGCCGAAAACAGTAGATAAATACAACAATCATTTTCTTTCTCCACTTCTTAAAATAATGATCACCCAATAGAAAAAAAAATATAGATTTTTTTCGTAAGTTAAATACTTTAGATTATCTCAATATATGTGCAGAATTTTAGCACCGTTTGTGAATTAAAATTTGAAGACTCGACTAAACTTTAAATAAAAAGGTCAAAAGAAAGGTATGAGTGCAATTTAATAACAAAAAAAAGGCACACAGCAAAAGAAGAATACCTTTCAATGATGAATTTTATAGAATTGCTGATGAGACTAAGTAATCGGGGTGCGTTTTTAAGTCACTCTCTGCTTAACTGTAAATAAATACATACTTATTTATTATCAAGAAGTTAGAACACTCTTCGTCTTCTATTCCTTTAGAATATATCTGTGTGAGTTTATGGAACAAAGGCTTTTTTTTATTTGAATAGTAAGCCAATTGTTTCTCTATCTATTCTAAAAGATGCCAAACGGTTGAAAGACAAAATCAAATGGGAACCGGTAGAAACTATTTTAAGCATTATTGACTAATATGAAAGATCACATCCCTTCAAATAAATTTGGTATTTACTTAAAATTTTTGGTATAAATAAAATTAAATTATTTAGAAAGGCATTTAGGTAATTCAACTTTTTGGTTAAGAGCTTCCTACATATATATATATATATATATATGTGCGTGTGTGCAAAATATTATAGATATTAAGTTTTGAACCCATAATCTAAAAAATCTCATAACCTTGAACCCATTAAATTTAAATCTTGGATCCGCCTCCTTTTGCATTGCATAGATCATTGCTACAATGTGGTGGCTCTTGTTTTCTCTTGCCTATGTTGCAGGGCTTGCTGTGCATAGGTCTTCATACTTGAGGTCTTTTTCTATAATTTGACACCTTAATGTTAACCAGGGTGAAATAAGGATCTGGTATCTGCTCGTTGACCCTTCGCTTTCTCCTTTCAACTGTAGGTCAAATTTGTCATAACATCCTAAAGAATCTTGTGTGCCAATACATACTTCGTATATGGTATCTCATCCAAAAGAAGAAGCTCGTTTATATGCTCATATATATGCAAACTGCACCCCCCCCCCCCCCCGGTTACTCTTTCTAATTTAAAAGGTAAGAATAGACTCAATAGGTTTTTGCTACAGAAGCTCTGAATCTTATTGCTATTCAGTCACGTCACATAATAACAAGATCTAAACCATGTATACCATTTGATCATTTTTTTTTTTTTTTTTTTTTTTTTTTTTTTTTTTTTTTGCTTTTGGTGCCAAAGGGTATTAAGTAGCATCCATTCATTGCGTAGTGTTTCTTGAGTACATAATAGTAATCTGTTTGCCTCTAACATCTCTAAGACAATCATAGGAAGAAATCCAAAATGTATTATCCTAGTAGACTCCTTCATCCTACCACCAAATTTGGCTAATTGATTTGCTACTTTTGTTCTGCTCCTTGTAATTATGCTCAATCAGAGGGTCTCCGAGCTGGCTGAGAAATGATATTAGAATAATGTGAAATCCCATTTGATGATCTTCACATATGTTGTTAGTACATCAAATATATTCTTGAACAATGAGTTGAACTTCATCAGAAAGTTTAAGCTTTTTAAAATGCAGAACAAAAGTGTGGAACCCTTAAACCATGCTAATGAGCATTATCTTCATACCGGTTAAAACTACTTTCATCTTTCTAATGTTTTTGCTGTTGCATAATTTGAAGGCACATCCAGCTCTAAGTGATATGGAAAGAAAAAAAGTTTGCGGTGTTATGGACTGTCAAAAGCTATCTAGAGAGGCTTGTGCTCATGCTGCTCAAAATGATAGGCTCCCTGTTCAGACAGTTGTGCAAGTACTTTACTACGAGCAGCAACGCCTTCGTGAGGTCATGGACGGGAGCCAACTTGTAGCAACTGAACCTCCAGCTCTAATTCCTTCTAAAACTAATCAGTTCTCCACTGATATCCGTCCTATTTCAGATGAGGTCTCTAGTCTAAAACGAGAAAATCAGGAGCTGAAATTTGAGTTGCTAAAGATGAAAATGAGGTTGAAAGAAATTGAAAAACCTTCAAACAAATCAGCTACTAGCAGCCCTTTGGTCATCACTCATCCATCTGCTGATAAACCTCCTTTGCCAAGAAAACCATCTAATTTCATAAGCTCAGTATCCAAAAAGCTTGGAAAATTTATTCGAGCAGATGGACTCACAGCCAACAAAGGCCGAAATAAACCAAGTAAAGACAGGCGTCATTCTATATCCTGATTTGAGCTAGCTATATTTGTCGTTGGGTTGAAGAATTATTACTGCATTGTCTGAACATATATGATACTGGATTCAAATTTTAGTTTTTATTTTAGTCGTGCGAGTTGTATGGTAAAGTATAAATTTGGTCAGACTTTAATCCAAAAATTGTATTTAGATGGACGTGGACGACTTCCTGTACATTATCTATGAAAGATTTTTAATCTTGGTTTCTCTTATATGTATCTTGAAGAAAGATTTGCAATCTTGAGATGTACAAGCAATAAAATACTAGTCGCACTGGAAAAAGTAGTTCTCATCTATAGCTATTAGGTTCTTTAGCTTCTGCCATTTTCAGGGGGCAAGAAACGTGGACGCGATCAAATCAGGTTGGATTTGGTCTCCATTGGTGTGGAAAATGGGAAAAAATGACTTAGCTAATGACTGACAAATAGCAATAGAATATTTTGATTATACTGAAGATTTTGGTAGATTTTGATACGCTCCCTCTGTAAGGCTTTCAGCATCCAACACTGGTACGGATATCGATTAACAATGCTGAATATTTTCTGCTGAAAATACTAGTATTAATTAGAACTAGTACTATCTTTTGTGTTTCAATAGTCCCTCAAATTAAGATAAAGCTTTGGAACAAAAAGGAATTCAAGATCTAAAGTCAGTGAGTTCACGCTAAATATGCATGTCTTAAATTTGTATATATACAGACATGTCAAATGGGCGGATTAGACTAATTTTGGACCGGTCAAAATGGGCGGAGTCAATAAATGAGCGGATACCCGTCCAAAAGTTATTTTGACTGAAACAAGTTTGGTCAAAATAGGCTAAAATTTGGGTCTGAGCCTAAACCACTCAACTCTTATTAAGCTTTAATTAATGTGCATTGTTTTCTTGTGAATTGTTTAATTATCAAATAAGACTTTTTCTTCTTTTGTTATGGTCATATATAACATATCAAACAAAACAAAAAAGAATTATTTTAAAGATATTTTAGCAAAGTTACTTATGGATCAATTTGAGCTAAAAACCAACCCAACTTTAGAGCAAGAAGTGCACAGTTAGCCACTAATTAGAGATGTCTTTATTTTTTAGCCACTGTTTAAAATGTATTTACTCTTTAGCCAGTGCTTAATAAATTTCTACTCGCCTGGACGAAAATACCCCTGTTCTAGACATGGATATTGTGTAAATATTAAGGAAATGATGTCCTTAACTTCATGAATGCTGTGTAAATATTAAGGACAAATTGTCCTGTATTTGCACCTTCCATTGTTAAACTTTAGGACATCATATCCTCCTTAACTTCATATGTGCAGGGTAAATGTTAAGGACATGGTGTCCTTAACTTCATGTGTGCAATGTAAATATTAAGGACACTAGTCCTTAATATTTACACAACATTCATGAAGAAAGGGTAAAAACGTCTTTTCGTATTAATTTTAATAGAGTAGTGACTATTTTTGCTCAGTACTAAAAATACTGGATAAAAACTAAATATCATGTTAAAAAGTGGCTATCCCACGCCATTTCTACAACTTTAGATGGATTGAGATGAGTTATATCAAGATGGACGGAGTTCAACAAATAAGCGGGACAAATACATTTGGGCTCAAATTGCCACCCTTATGTACACATAATTCGAGCCCGAAATTGATAAATACAGGCAAAACTCGTCCTAAATCCGCCTCTTCTTGGGGACTGAAAATGATGGCGGAGTAGAGAAATTGGAGTTGAGCCGGGATTTAGACTCGGAAATCAAATGATTATTCCTTTTTCATAAAGAAAGCAAATGGAACAGGCAGGGGAAAGCATTGTTCTAATTCTAGACCTGAGGCAAATTTATCATCATGATCATAGAACATAGTAGTACAATGAAAAGTGTATGCTTTCAAATAACTGATGCTTCGTCAACTTTTGAGATCAGAAAATATTCAAGAAAAAATACTCATCCCAGTATATTATTGCAGAGAGAAGCCTTATTTATTTGGATTGAGAATCTCATGTTCATTTGGTGGCAGACAAAACTATAGCAATTCCTACTCAACTGTTGGTAGGAGTAGTTTCCATGTGGTTGGTGGAAAACGACTAACAATAAATTAGAGAATTTTAAGAATCATCTTATTCGCTTTTCTTCAACTCTTTTTTTCCTTCCCATTGAAGTGGAAATTAACAAAGTCTGTTTAGATCAGATTCCTATCAGCTTCTTTAAATATATTATTACAAATCTAGCTCTATCCAACCCTTTTTATGTTTGTTAAATGACATCCAAGTTGGAGATTATGTCATAAAAGTGAAGAATCTCTATTAGTACAATGAACCTAAATAATTGATGATGAGTGTTTCCCTTGTTCTATATATTTATTTCTTGAAGCACTGTGAGATTCCTTTTGATGTGGTTCTCTTCGGTATAGAACCAATTTGACTTAGTTGATTGACAAAACTGATAAAAAAAATACCTTTAATTATTGAATTTGAGTTTATAAATAAGTAATTAATTCGTGTTTGAATAGAAATGTTTGAACCGATATAAGTACTATATTGGTGTGCCAACACTGTCGCTTTAAAATGTTTCAAAATCACCCTGAGGCTGTTCTAGAAAATATAACCTAAAATTATCATCGCATGGAAAAGAATTGGAATTGAGAGAGATTTAGAGGTTTTTTTTTGGAAAGGTGGTTTGAGGATTACAAAATTATTAGGAAAAAAAATACTTGTTCAATTTCATTTGATATGACGTTGTTTCCTTATTTATCCATTTGATAATTTTTATATTCAGAAACAACTTAACTTTATTTTGTTTATCTTAACCTTAATAACATGTTTTTGTAGCTACAACAATCTCATAGAATACATTTACAATCACAAATTCTAATTTTTTTTTTTTTAAACTGTGTGTCTAGTCAAACTATATCATATAAATTCAAATGGGGATAATAAAAGTTTAAGTCAAACCAAAAATACTTTTAAATTGAAAAGTTATAAGTTAAGATGACAAACTTATGAATTTTGACTAATTTTATCTCATAGGCATTTATGATATTTTACCAAAGGCGTAACTAATCTGGCTTACCGCACTACCATCATACACACAGACAGTTGAAATTTCATTACGTAGAAAAGAAGGAAAAAATATGTCTGGCTTGAGTCTTGACTAGCATTAATCAGCAGGAGCAAGTTAGAGATGATTTCAAATATATATGGAAAGATATTGAATGAAATAAAGGGAACAAACCATCCTCAAGTTTAATCTAACAAAGATAGCTTCAGGGAATTGATGTGATATTACAGACTCAATTCTCGCGGCGTAGGGCAATCACATAAGATTCCCATATAGATATGTTGTGAGTTTAAGTACAGACGACTAGTCAATTATATATCCAAGAACTCAAATCTAAGCTACTTTAATTTGGGTAGCTCTCAAATCCCAAAAATATCGTTAGTGAAGCAAATAGGACCGATCATAAGATAAATTTGATCCTGCAGGTGAAACAAAATATACTAAGATTCACACAAATTAAATCACAGAAGTAGTCGGTAGGATGAAGTTTAAAATCTTCTCACACCGACTGATCATCAGCTCATGCATAGATCAAATGTACTTTTTTGTTTTTGTTTTTTTTCAAGTCATATTCAAACTCAAAACTTGAAAAAGCCAAGGAGGATTATTCAATGAATCTTGTCTAAATTGCTCTTCAACATTTGGATTAGTTTGTCTTGCACCAAGCTGGAAACTCGGATTCGAGACGGGTAAATTCTCAAGTCCCCATTTATGGCCATTTAGATCATTTCTTGGATTCCTTGCTGAAGTTGAAGGCTTTATAATTTGGCTAGAAGAGCCCGTGGAATTAGAAGAAGAAAAACTTGGTGCAGAATCAGAATTAGCTATTTTTCTCCTGCGGTTGTAACTTGACAGGCCTAAAGTTAACTCGAGTTCAGTCTCATCTTCAATAATATTATCTTGACCAACTGATTCTGCAATATGCTCTTGATCATTTGGCCTTATTTCCAAGTCAAAACATTGACGGATCTTCTTGTTTGAATCAAGAATATTATTATGATGGTTTACCACTTGATCTTTCACTCGTTGCCGGCTACTTGAAATGTTTTTCATCAGTAACTTCTGGGTTTGATATAGACGATGAAGTTCGTACACCTGTGTTTCGGAGAGAACATGTAATTGACATTCGTGCATCCAAGTGTGCAACCAAAGACAAATAATGAATCAGAATGAGTTATCATTATAAAATTTTAATATTGTCTTTTCAAATATGTGTATACATATAACTCAAGTAAAAGTGAAGTAGTTTATAAGAATATATATGGGGATGGGAGAAGTCCTGACTACTATTTTGATTACCTGCTCTCTGAAGATTTCCTCGTGCTTTAACATGGCCATCTTCATGTATTCCTTATCGTATGGATTGAGAAGCTTCTCCATTTTCAAAGCTGCCTCGGAATTTAGATTGCTTGAAACTGAAGAAATTCTAGGAAGAAGAAGGGACGTTTCTTTAATTCCACTCAATATCGGACAGAATTTTGAATTAATGTATATCCCCGCTTCTAAATCTCTACATAAAAGAAGCAGAAATCTGGGTAAGTTTCTTGAAAATGAATAAAGAAATAGTAGTCATTTATTTGTAGTATAAAGTAAGTTGATGGATGTCAAAGGCTGCCTATCAGGCTTCCAAATTTGTCGCACAAATGTTTTTGATGACTGAAGGAAATTAACGCACCCCTTTTATGGTATGGCATGTATGATTTTGTTTGTTATCGTTACATATATAATTACTGTCAGTTTGGGCCACGGCAATAATTAATAATATTACAAATTCCTATAGAGCATGTCTTAATATCACTATCATATGAACAGTAGTTATCGCGTAAAATCATGTGCATACCAAGAAAAAATACAGATATTTTTCGCCAAGTTCACAATATGCACATGCATCTCCGCCAATTAAAGCCAGTGCTTATCCTCGACTTGCTACTACTTTTTTTTTCGAAATTTCAGCTTTCTTCAATTGTTGGGTTATAAGGAAGAAACATACTATCAAGATAACTATTCCAGAAGCCAGCGACTTACATATTGAGTTGTACTATTTAATTCCCTTTAGTGTATGAAGGAAATTAAGGAAGAGGTTTGCTAGTCATCAGATAAATATTTTTGAGTCTCAAACAAAGTGCATAATCAGATAGATCGTTACTAGAATTAATTTGTATCATCACCAAATGACTAAAGAAATTGGTCATACCCCAGACTAATGCATGCAACCTTAATTTCATGTAGATGAAGTTAATATCTCATAGCAGTAACAAGAAACTAGGATTATACAAAATTAAGATACTCCAATAAGTAGAGACGAGTGATCAATTGAGCTTCTTTACCTGTAACGTAGTTGTACTTTTTATGAAGAGAAAAGAACAGAAGAGATAGGAGGTGAGAATTTTGAGGAGCTTGAAAAAACTTGAAACTCAGGCTTCCCTTCTTTTGAAAGAAGAGCTAACACCCCACCTTTGCCTTCACATTCCCCAGTATATACTGACCCGAAGATAGAAATTAAAAAAAAAAAACATTAAAAGAAGAAAGAATAAAATAGCATTATTAGGACTGCTGAGGAAGAATTTAAGATTCTGTTTTTACAAACACAGAAATCAAAGCAAATGTTGTTGCATTTTTTGAGTTTGAGGAAAGGAGATAGAGACTAGCTAGTTAGGGAAGTAGGGAGGAAGCATGCCAAACAAATCCAGTGGCCTTAGCCAATGTGATTTGAGTTTTGTGAAAGAGATGCCCCAGACAAGTCCAGCACTGCACATCATATTTAAACATTTTCTAAACACGATAACATATTAAATAATACATATATTGTTGTACTGTCATATAATGCAGGGGAAAGAATAATATATAGTTGTATATACATATGTGGATCACACCAGAAAGTAAGGTTGTACAAAGGAAATCGAGAAACCGCATCAACCCAATAATCCGAGTCAAACCGAGAAAAAAATCTGACTATGATTTGGTGTTGGAAAAAAAACCCCGACCATAATTGGTTTAGTTTAGTTTTAACTAAAGAAAGTCAAACCGAAACCAAACCTACCCGACATTACATATATAGAAATTTTAGATATATTTAATATATAAATATACTTATTGTGATGTAATTTATAAATATTTCTTAAATTTTTTCATAATTTTATCTTTTAAAGTATTATTTCAAGGTTGGATTTAGAACTTTTGAATGCTTCAATAAGTTTTATAGTCATTAATATTAGTAAATTAAATAATGCTAATAAAAGCCCAAACCAAAATCAAATCTAACAAAAGACATTCAATTCAATACTACGAACGGGAATGTATTGAATATCTATTTTTTGTTTTGCAATAATTTAGATAAAAATGCATAACCTATTTTTATTTTTTCTTTAGCGTTTAGTCATGTTAATACTCCCTTATTAGTCTACTTATTTTAGCATGACTTAGTACTTTTAGATTATGCTTATTTTTATTATGGCTTTTTCATTAGCAATATTCATATTACATAATTTTATTGTCTTTATTATAGAATATTTTAGGATAATGTCATGACACATCTCATATTTCGTATTATTTTCTTGGAAAATACTTTATATAGTTGTATCTTATTAGGATTAAAGAAATATTTTGAGCATAATTTATATGTTTTGTTCTACGAAGATTTTACCGGAAAAAAAATCTGAATAACCCGAGAAAAATTGAGAGTGAAAAACCCGAGTTTTATTGGTTTGGTCTTTAAATTTAATAACCCAATACAATTAGTTTAGTTTGGTAATTGTAAAATTCAAACCAACTCGATCTATGTACACCCCGCCACAAAGGAGAGTTTAAGGCAATCATCAAAATAACAGCTTAGGAATCACATGCAATACAAGAATACAATATAACCTTAATTCTGTACACAGTTGTCGCAACCTTTACCTTATACTTGTAATAGAGTCGTATCTGATATTGTCCCCAATCCCCATCCCATTCTTGTGGTCTTAGAAGGGTTTGGGGGAGGGGAGGTGGCATCACCTGGCCCGCCGACAATAGATCTGATCCTGGCCGTACCTTTTGTGGGTACCCTTTCGTATGATCCAAAAGGTGATCAACTTATCTTGAATATTTACCCACATCATGCTACGCCTCAATTATTGTACACACAAGATATATTATTTTAAAAAAAAAAAACAATTATGTGTTATTAGCTTATGATTACAGATTTAATTTACATACATTACAATATAATATAAAGTTTTTTTACTATTAGTATAATTTTATCGATCATCACAATAGTTATTACTATTAATTTTTAGGTTATCGTACGAGGCTTGATACTTATTGATGTAGATCAACAAACAATTATGTTTTCTTTACTCATGGGTAAAATTTTAATATATATACACACTAACAGTATAAAAAATTGTACTATCAGTCGAATTCGATCTTTCATACCAGATTATTACTTTAGTTTCCAAGTTATCTCATATTAGTCTTATTATGAAGTTACTTGTTGCATAAATTAGCTTAAGTTAATAGGGAAAATTTATATAGTGTCAATGCATTAAACTCTATGATTAATATTACTAATATAATATATTGTCCATCGATTCTGATTAACTGGATCTTGTCCTTAACTCCCCACGGTGGCCAACGCATCAACCATCTAAACCTCAATTACATAATGTCATGGACATTAAATGCGACCATGTGATGAGCTTCTTAACTAAATTATAACTATGTGATGGAAACCATGGCTTAGATTCATTGATTGTTCAATTAGATTGTTTATGTTAGACTGAGTTAAAAGTATCGTAGGTCTACGGCCTCGAATATATAAGAGCATGTGCACATTTATAAGGCAAACTTGGTTGGATGGATAGACTTCAATTAAATTATTTAGGGGAAAAGAATAATAGAGCTGGGTTTGTCTTTGTCGTGTTTTTAGCCGTTCTAATTGGTACAGATGGATTAGAAGATAGAGATACTCCAACACATATCATGACTATGGAAGAGAGATGGATTTAGCTTTTTACCATTTTAAATTGGAATATATGTTTAAATCATGTAAAGTTGCTACGAGTATAAAGTAAAGCGAAATCAACATCCAGCGAGCTAAAAGTAACAAAGGTAAATGCCCATCGTTTCAAAATTATACTGTTCAAATCGAATAAAAATAAATATAAAAATTGTTGAATGCTCTTAAGGTAAGAGAAACTTCTAAGTATAATATGTATTTTTTTTGGCTCTCATTGTTAGATTTCTGGCGCGACCACTTTCATTACCCGAGTCGTACAGAGGGACTCTTAAGAAATTAATTTATTATATATAAATTAATTAATTTTGAACTCAATAACATTAAAGATAAAATCCTAAATTCATAAATTTCAAATTTTGCCTCTGATTATACTTAGTAAATCCATACGGAAATAAAATTTTACGGTATTAATATAGATACATACTATGTGAACTTGTAACATCATAATTGTAGAAGAATCCAAATCCAAAAAGAAAAAAAGGAAAAGAAAGAAAGATGCAAAGAATGTGTGTGTCCATATGATAAAAATCAAAACAAAATGATAGCAGTTGGAGAGAGAGAGAGGAGAGGGACATTGAAGCACGCGTTGCCGGTTCAAGAAGGTGCAGAAGTATGGGGGGTGGTAGGGTCCTTTTGGGTTTGCTAAAAGGCTGAGCCCACGCCCTTAGCTTATTTCTGTTACCACTTGGTCCCATATATCCCTTTATAAAAAATGGGCATCATCACATATAGTACTAATATGAGTAGATGATGGTACTATTAATTATCACTTTGTGTTTCCATAATTCAAAACATGACTCAATTGTTATTCCCAACTTGACCTTACCTTGTTGGTGCAGCGGTTCAGTTCTTGCTACCTCAGTGGATCTTCACATATCACCTATACTAGCAAGTGACTAGCAAGTAATAAAGCTAATCATAGCTCATGATTTTTGTATTTGCTATGGTATATTGGATGGGATAGGGTTGGTATATAGGGGTAAAGATAGCTAGCTAGATAATAGTAAGGATTTGTCATTTGTCGTGCAGGTGTGTGAATAGGATATGTCTTAACCAAAATGCTCTTTTCTTTTGTTTCAATTTAGATAACATATTTCACTTATCGAGTGTCAAACTGATCCAAATACTCTTTTCTTACTTCTTTTATTTTAATTTAGATGATATATTTTGCTTATCGAGATTTAAGCTGATCCAAATGCTCTTTTTTTAAATGTTAAAATTTTAATTTTAAATTACTAAATTAAACTGATCGAATTTAGGTTCAACATTTAGTCAAATCAACTCTCGATAAGGGAAATATGTCATCTAAATTGAGACAAAGAGAGTATATATTAACAATGTACAAATTGCTATTATATCAAGCTTGCAATAAAGAGTTATCTGTGTTAATAGTTATATTAAAATAATTCATATATGCACAAAACTTAAATTCAACCAAGATAATGCATGCTAGTACATTTTCAACAGCAAATGTGCATCATCAATCTTTTAGTGTTCAGACGAAAGATGAGATATTTTCTTTGAATAAATCCTCTGTCCAAAACTGAAGGATCTTCAGCCACAATTAATTTTTCATCACTTTACCAAGAAAGTCCTGCCAAAAGTAGTATGATATCTTCCTCTCTTTCATGATTTACTACTGTTTCTCTCCTTCAGGATCCACAGTTTCCTTTTGGCTCCTTCCGCTTTTTATGCTCTTTTTGTCAAATCTACGCCTAAGACTGGAAATAGAAAAAGAAGAAAAAACCCACAAGAGGGCACCAATCCTTCTATTTTTTGCAACCAAAAAAAAAAAAAGAAAATTAAAAATTAAATAAAATATTGACTCGTCACTGGATCTAGAGTTTT